GCATAATTTTCTAGAAAATTCTTTACTACTTCTGCAACATTTTTATCAATCACCATTTTAGTTTTCCATTGAGGCATCCTTTTAATATTACCATGAATTCTTGGCAGAAGACCATTATTTATCAGATGATTTCTAATATTTTCAAAATAAGTTCTACCAATTCCTAACATATTGAGATAAGTTTCTTGACAAAGAGGTGTATTGTGATCCCAATGATAGAAAGTTCTTTTGTTAGATCTAGTTTTCTTCTTAAGACGTCTACTAGTGCTTATTGATCCCCCATCCATTGCTTTAAGTTGAGCCATCAAAAATATGTCTTGTTCTACTTTAGAAAGAGCTTGAAAGGATTCCCTTAATTCTGCAAATCCTTCCTTGGGAATTCTTGAAGAACAACCACAATTACACCCTTTTTCTAAAAAATCAATTGCCTTTTGATATTCATTAGAGCCATTGTATTTGTTATTTTCATTATTACTTTTCATATATACACTTATCCCTATATAATTTTATGTTCACTTTGTGGGTTTTTATAATTAATTTAAAAATTGAAGGGAAATATATTAATGGAATTAAACTTAGATGAATAATAGAATAGTTTTAGGCAAATTATTTAAAAGATATGATTGCTCAGTAATTTGTGAAGAGAAACTGAAAAATTTGGTCAGCTGGCCCCATGAAAAATAATTATGGCAAACAACAACTATAGGAGAGAAATTTTTGTTTATTTCCATCAAAAAGAAAAAACTACAGATATTAAAGCACCCCTATATTTTTCCAGAATGATGCACAGCAGACTAATTATAATAACAATTAAATCCTACTCACGCCTGTTTTTAAGGCCACCCATGTAGGAATCGGTTATGCTCAGTGTTAACTTATTTCACTTTGTCCAACAGTTATAACTTCATATGTGGTAAAATCCTTGCTCACAATCCAAATAATCTTAATCTCAGTACCAGCCTGGTAATTATAATGCATTGGAAGCTCAGTACAAAGAATAACCAAGTATGCTTCACTTGGATCAATGCAAAACATGTAATCTTCAGCCTGGTTGACTCCTTGAACAAGTGAATCATAATCAGTTGCCTCAACCTTCAATTCCATCAGAATATTGCAACCATTTCGAATAAGAATGTCCAAATGTTTGTTTCCCATTTTGTCCCTCTCTTTTGCCTCTGGGAAGATAAGAAATTCTTTATCAATAATTGGTATGCCATTATTTGTACATTGCTGACAAACTGTTTGCAAAATGTGTTGTAATGTTGAAAATAGTTCAAATTGGAAAGTGTATTCAGCAACACCTTTCTTGGTTTGTACTTCTGCTGCTGTTAAAACTTTGTTTCGAAACATTGAAACAGCATGAACTATAAGTTTGAATATGTCTATTTTTTTGTTTTCTGTGATAAGTTCCACAACTCTATGTGATGCATATGACCGATGAATCACACAATGCATGAATATCAATTGTCGAATTAAAGTTGAGGAAAATTTAAGTTCATATCTGTTTGCTTGGATAAGAACACCAATTGTAAGAAGATGATGTAATCCACTTTTCTCTTCTAGTGAGGGTTCATGTAGCTCATCACCAAACAAGTATTTTCTCCATAGTAATGTTCTTGCAATTTCTGCTTTAGGACTATTTTCCTTCAAGCTTTCAATCACTTTCAGGAATGCATTTGATACCAATGCCCTGTTAAGCAAATTTTCAGCTGCAATTTTCTTCCAGTCTGCCAATCGAATCTGTGTTTTCCCCCAACATACCTCATCAATCAACCTGTCACCACAAAAACTGGTCAAACCTGGATGTCCATTTGTTTGATCATATATGTCTTGTCCAATTTTTTTATATTCCATGCACAGCTGTTTCTCTTCTGCAGCCTCTTTAAAAAGGTTTATGACATCTTTTTCAGTAAAGTGACCTACCCACAATGAGTCAGTGATGTTAAGTGGTGGTGAATAATAATCTATTTCACTTGATTCTTGCTCAGTTTTGAGTGATAATGTTGAATCGAGGAGTGTTATGTCAAATGTTCCAGCACCAATGAATGAGTACAGCATCGACCTATTTCTGTTCTCATCAACATGTTTGGTTAAGCATGAATTTTTCAATCCTCGTAATCCTGAGAAGAATGATTCCTTTGCTTTTGGGTTTTGATCCTGTTAAATTCATCAATTATTAGTATCACCAATTTTTTGAAATACTCTGATGTAAACAAATGCTGGAATGCTACTTTCTTTTCTTCTGCTGAAAGTTTCTGAAGAGTATCTATGTCAATTGAAATTGGACTCTTTTGTGCAATCTCCCTAAACAAACTATCCCAAAAAGTATCCACTGTAGTAAGATCTAATCCAAATTCAAAGGAAAGTGGAATCACTATAAAACCATTTTTGCAATGTTGATGAATGACTGATGATGTAGAACATGTTGCACTCCAACCATTGGAAGCTATTTCATAGAAGTGTTCAAGATGAGTGGACTTTCCAGATTGTCGATGACCATGTAAAAGCAAATAAGTGCCACGTTCAGCATGGTATAAGAGGTCTGGCATGCTTAATTTGTGCACAGAAACATGAAAATCATCCTTTGTGACAGGACCAGAGATCCTGAAATTTCGTGTGTGAAATCTTTTCACTGTTCTTACTGCTTCTTGCCTTAATCGTTTTGTTTGTTTGGGTACTATATATTTTATAATACAAAGAAGGCAACCCAAAGAATAATTCCGAATGAATGATAATTAACAAGAAAGACAAGAAGAAAAGTGATTTAGAAAGGTACTTGATATTATTGGCAAATATGACACAGCACAAGCAAAAAAAATGAAGCAACGAAATTAATTGAATCTTGTGAGAGAATATACCTACTTTCTTCATATTCTTCCTCTGCACTACCTGAAACAATATTGGGAGTGGATGGATGGATGTAAAATAAATGAATAGGTATTAATTAAAATTGTAAACAGCGTATCAATATCAAATAAAATGTTCTCTCAAACGAATAAATAAATGGAATGGAATCAACGAAAAATAATTTTTTGTATATTTTTTTTTACGCCATTTGTTCATTCTCCTGCGACCATTAAATATAGTAGTAATAAGAATCCCATTAAAACAAAAGGATCCCATTTCGAAAATTACCACTTATAATATGCAAACATATTGTCGAACTATAACTCATAGTACGACACGGCTATGTCGTAACTATGTCGTAATAGTAACTCTTGGGAAGATTCCGCAACTGTTTATCTTTTCTTTTAAGTAGTGCCAACCCGAATTGGGTAAATCAAAAAATAGTCCAGGTACAGTCAAACACTATAATAATAATTAAATTTTTGTCATAACGGATTTTAAATTTTTGTGAAAAGATTATTATTTATATTATAATTATGGGTCTGGGACACTTTACCGAAAACACGCGGGGTTACATTTAATCTCTACATAATCAAACAAACTAAAAAATGCTAAAATATCACGTCGCGTGTTGTCGGTAAAAGTGTCTTGTCGGTAAAGTGGGTGTCGGTAGTGTCCGGGTCCGATAATTATTATTATTATAATTATAATAATAATTAGTAATCTTGCCACAACGGATTTTAAACAAAATTTTCTTAGTTATTTTTTATTTCTTTTCTTTTCTTTTAGTGAGGTAATATTAATAAACCTTATTTAGTAGTTTTGGAGACGTACCTGACTTGAGCAGTTATAAATTTATTTAGTCCAGCATTAAGCAAATCAGAATTATCTTCATTAATTATTGGATCATCTTTAAGTAATTTGAATGTTTCCCTGTAAAATTTCTCAATTTCTGGATGTTGGTAGAAACAAATACCCAACATATGTTTTTTTTCATGTCTACATCTGAAAGAACATTTACCAAGTGTCAAAAAGATTTCTGGTGACAAATCATCCCACTTGTCATAACATGTAATACACATTTCTCTATCACACCATGCATATCAAAATCCACTAAAAATTATGTATTGGTAAATATCACATAATTGTCTACCGTTTGTTCTGATATTTTTTGATATGGAGATTTATCTATATGAGAAAATTCATTCTAAAAGTAGAGGCTATTAAGTCTAATTTTAATATTTCAAAGAACATATTAATTTTTTTTAAAATATTATCGCTGTTTAAATCATGATAGTAGTAATATCTAATATATATTGTCAATCCTCTTGACTTAATGGGGTTTCTCTTGATTCTAGCATTGGAGCAGGATTCTGATCTGAAATAAAATTTGAACCTTCTATTATTTCATATGTTACAGGATCAATGTCAAAATACTCAAGATTTTTAAAATCTGCATCTATCTGATTTCTTGTTTACATTCCAACAAAAAATAAACAAGATTTTTTATAAATGAACCATCTGATTAAATAGATAAATAATTGATAAATTATAAATTTATTATGTTTACATGCTTGATATTGATTAAATTGTAATTTTCTTGAACAAGTACATTTCTCTGGTTTATAATCTTTCCTATTGTTGAAGTAAGATATAATTTCTTTTTGGACGTTTGTTAGGTATTAGGAGTTGAACACTTCTGCCTCAATTTTACGTTTAGTCAATGTTACAAGACTTTGATCTAAAATTTCAGTATGGTTTGTAACTATGTTATTGTTGTCTATGTTTATTGTTGTTGTTATTAATTGTCGTATTCGCACAATCAACTTATTATTATTATTTATTATTATTGTTCTTCGAATTCCGGGTTTTGGTTTTAAAATAATATATAAAACTTAAAAAAGGCAGTGACAGGTGGGTGTACAATTCAATTTAGCACATGCTGATACCAATACATCTTTTGCATCAATCTAACAAAAAAAAAAAAAAAATGGGAATTCTTGAAAAGATTGCTGAAATTGAAAGAGAAATATCTCGTACTCAAAAAAATAAAGGT